TTCATTTGTGGAATAAATCAACGCGTGTAATTTAATTGGATTAAAAATTATTTTTATATTACTTTCTCCAATATTCTTGTTTCCATGTAACAATTAATTGATTATATTTGAAAACATGTCCGATACATGTATTTCACAGAACCATTTATGTAATAACATTCTACCATCCCGCATTTTATCATTCAACAGACATTAAAACAAAAGGGAGAGTAAGAGAGTAAGATACTTTAGTCGTAGTAGATACGACATGAAAAGACGAAAAAAATATAGGAGGAAGAATTACGTAAGAGTTGCATTTCTAGGTATTTTTTTCACGTAACTACTTGTATTATCCCTACGATCGCACGGGACCATCGCAGAGAGACATCGATGAGACAAAATACCTCGTTTGTTCTTGAGAGACTGATTCCTCGGTTGAATACTTTCACCCTGACAGACGTGGAAATATTTTTCTCTATTATTTTGCGCAATTGGTAATACTCTATGATGGATTGATGCAAAGATTCAAATTCTTCCGGAATTTCCAACAAGTCTATCAGAAATTTTAGCCAAAAATGATGTATTACTTGAACTGTTAAAGTTCCACTTGTTGAAAAAGAGAAAAATATGACATTTCAAACTTTTCCGTAAATACAATCACAAGGGTCATTGGGCTTTGCGAACACGGCACCTCACTCAGGGACGACAAATGTTTGATTAGCTGGTGGATTTTATAAAGTGAGCGCTTTGCAGATGGGGTTAGCCACAAACGCGTGACCTTGCAACGTGATTCTACAGCGAGATTCAGTGTGTGACCTCAATGCTGTAAATATTTGGCTTATTGGCTTATGGACAAGATGACTAGGAGTATATATTTAATGATGCTGAAATATTTGTACAACTACTATTCCACCTTGGAACCTAGTGTAGTATTTTTCTGTGAAAAATATTTGCACCCACGAGAGCGGATGTTTTTTAAATCCTCTGCCCAACTCTGATTAACTTTGATAATTTTCCTCATCAACCTGATGTGACATTTGAGTTATTTGCCTAGAGATCCAAATGGGTCTGGAGTGTCGGCAAATTGAAATGTGCTGCGTGCAGCACGGTCGTGCTGGCCGACCCATATATGAATTTCTGCGTCTCACACGCAGCGTGTGACACGGCAAAATAATTTATTATATGGGTTTATTCGGCTATAAATAGACTCAACATGAGATATACTCTACGAGCGTAACAGTAGAAAAACATGAACCCATTATATGCAGTGTGCGCAATGAAAGCCGTCATTATTAATAATCAGGCGATTTCTCGGGGTTGTCTAGCACCAGGAAAACCAACTTGAGAGAAAAATTTCTATCAAAGATTACCACTGAAATGTCGTAATCGAGCCTTGAAAAAATTTTAAATCATTACATGTGGCAATTGAATTGGTTCCTATTAATAATAACAAGACAAAATGAAAACGCTAAAATGAAATTTATTAATTACATTATAATAACAACAATTTGACCCAAAATAAATATGTGACGAAGATTGATAATAGGTGTTGGATTAAATTGATCCTACAACGTAAGCAGTCGTGTCACCGCTGTTAGCGGTATCATATACGAGTCCGATAACATATTGGATTCGTGAGAGCGTGAAATTGAATTACGATACGGTGGATACGAGCATTGGGGATGCTTGTAATGTTTCATTTCACAGTGATGATACCTTGGTGGAATCGAAATATTCAATTGTCGGCGGGAGTTGGAGGTTTCATTGGATATATATCAGAGGATGAAAGTTTAACGGTAAAATTGTCAATTCGATGATACCACACAGGGATCAGGGAGGGAAGTGCAGTTAATTGTCCGAGAGGGCTTGATATCGATCACTCTGATATATTTGATGACTCATCTCTTTCATTTGTATTGGTTTATTATTCGGCCATTACAGTAGAATCAGTTATTTTTCTCATAAATTATTGATGAGAACATTTATTACAATTAATGGCTGAAAATTTTCTCACAGTTGTTTGTTGACATTTTTTATTACTTCCTGGTGATGATATTACTCTCAACTCCTCAACAGTGTGTGCATTAAAATTCACATTCAGAGTTGTAATATGAATGATAATGAAAATGAAGAAACTGTAATTGAATGATAAAGTAAAAAAAAGTCAAGGGGCTTATGGGTTGGTCGCGTGCCTCAACTAAAGAGGGAAATTTATGGTGCATATAACGAGGACTCGACGGTTTACATGGGCGGCGGCGGCGGCGGCGGCGGCGGCGGCAGCGGCGACGTCTCCTCGTCGCGTCCTCATCGTCTCTTCCTTTCCCTTTTTACTTCCCCCGTCGATGACACCCACATACTCACCTATAAGCCTCTCCTCCCCCCCCCCCCCCCCCCCCCCCCCCCCCNATTACTCTCAACTCCTCAACAGTGTGTGCATTAAAATTCACATTCAGAGTTGTAATATGAATGATAATGAAAATGAAGAAACTGTAATTGAATGATAAAGTAAAAAAAAGTCAAGGGGCTTATGGGTTGGTCGCGTGCCTCAACTAAAGAGGGAAATTTATGGTGCATATAACGAGGACTCGACGGTTTACATGGGCGGCGGCGGCGGCGGCGGCGGCGGCGGCAGCGGCGACGTCTCCTCGTCGCGTCCTCATCGTCTCTTCCTTTCCCTTTTTACTTCCCCCGTCGATGACACCCACATACTCACCTATAAGCCTCTCCTCCCCTCCCCGCCCTCAGTCAGGCGGAGGAAATGTTGAAAAATAAAACAAAAAAAAACATTGTAAAAAATATTACAGACTTAATACTCAAATTTATGATGACGCCTCTCTACTTGTTGTGAGTCTAAGCGAGTTTTCACATCGATGGGATGCTCTTGAGATTCAATAATGTAGTACTGGGGAGAATAGACATTGTCGATTATTGCGTGAATTGCATACCATTTGAGGTAACTCGACATTCTCAATTTGAAAGTTAAATTCTGATTTTTCATTGTTTTATTATTTTCCAACAAATTGTTTTGTATAAGCCGCAGCCTTGACGTCGGCGGTTCCTAACTCCTCAAAAAACACTTGAAGCACTTGTTTTATGATTATTCATAGTGAATGGAAATGCAAACAAACAAAATGGATATCCTATCCACTTGAGTTTACTTCCCAGCGTTGGGAATTAATTTAAATAATAAATTTAAAAACGAAAGAATCCGACGTCTCTTATCTCCTTGTATTATCGTACAAGCAGCAACACACATAACGAGCGATTCTTACCATTATGTGCCTTTTCCATTTGATCGAGTATCCTAAGGAGAATAATAATTATTATGGTAGCTATCCTCATCTCGGTAGCCCAAGGTCCTCACCAATGGTGTGTTCACTTCCTTTGCCGGTCTTTCCCACTATCGAATACCGTATCTCTGTCGTTCTTACCCCTCTCGTAATACCTCTATACACCAACCGATCGACGCTCTAAGAGATTGTTATCCGTGCTGTGATAAGTGTTGCACATTCGTTACATCTCTCCATTCTTGTCCAACAAACTTTTCATTTTAATCTTATAATTTTTTATTAAATCGGGTGAATTATATGAATTACCCTACTGGTACTGGTCATCATATAGCATGAGAAAGAGGTTAATACAATTTATTATTACTATTCTTAAAAGAGCATTTTGTTAGCATTTTCCTCAACAAGGGTTTGTCAAAAATCATTGGGAATTGTAAATTTCAGATAAATATGTATTATACATCGATTGAAAATTGAGGGTAATTTGGTACTGACTATTAAATATTCATGTTTTCGCGGGAAATTCAATAAATCAGTCATTGTAATCGACAACAGCAAATAATCCTAGGAAAGCCTCCATTGAGGAATTGTCAGGAATTGAAATGTCTCATATCACCACTGCGTGGGGCCCTCGACATACCAGACTCACTGTAATATGTACCCAACCATTTGCCAAAGAGTGTCTCTGAGTAGCGCCGTGTCAAAAGAATGGTTACGATAATCTGGTTACGACTAATAATAGTCAGAATTGTCTCGAGCCGAGTTATTCGCACTTTCTCTCTCTCTCTCTCTCTCTCTTGATCTCTTGATCTCTACACTCCTTACTATTCTCAACCAACCACCCAAACAACCCGCGCTTAGTCGCTCGTCTCGTCGCTCCCCATCCATCGAGGAGAGAGAGAGAGAGGGAGAGAGAAACCACTATAACAAGTGAGCAAGGTCGCTAACCTGCGTACAATTGTGCCGATATTCCTATTCCAACATCTTTTCTTGTATTTGTCCTTTATCGCTAGCTCTGGCATAACTGCATACTCTGATTTCATTGCAACCATTATGTATATTAAATTGAAAGTTCATTTGCCATGTCATTTGTAAATTGTTGAAAAATCAACATTGTCATTTTTTTTTCAATTTTTTACTCTCACGTAATTACCTGAAATGCCGTTATCAAATTTTGTCGAATGACTTTCAACGATAAAACAGTCACTAAATGATTAATTAACGTTACTCCAATTGATTAAAATTCCTCAACTATTTAAAACGAGATAAATTTCCATTTGTTAAAAAATTTCAATTTGTTGAATTTCCACTTCCGAGGTCAGGGGAATCGCGTATTAATTTGCCTTTTGAACGATATCGGTGAGCATAAATAATCAACTCATTAGCATATGTCATCGGCGTGTAAAGTTTAGAAAGTGGGTACCAGTGGTTTATGGGGGTATAAGACGAGAGTAAATATCAGGCGTAGATTAATTGAATTATTTGCGCACAGATCCTCAGCTTGTCCTGCCTCCAGTTAACAGTTAACACTAACTGGTAGTTGTACGCACTACACAGCAGGTGAAATTGAAAATTTATTGCGATCATGTGACTGTCGCTATTTCATAAATTTTTAAATGATTCATATATTGACTTGAAGAGTCTTGGCTTTGTTCAATCCATTGGTTTTATTTTCATTCTCAAATGTCAAATGGTACATTATTACAACAAAACATTTCAAAACATTTCATGATTCTTATTCAGAAAGGGATTTTACGTTGATGCACTCGAGTGCGTTCTCCTCTGCAGTGTCGATTCTTGTCGTGAATTCTTCTCTTGGTTGTATCAAGCACTCCCCAAATTGAACGAATCCCAGACCAGTCATCACTTGGACCTCAGTTTTTAGCTTTGCCTCTCGGTCTTGGTAATAGTCGACCGAAGATGTTAACTCTGGTATATATTTCTCCAAACATTGCTCGAACATACTGGCGGAGTTGTGATTGGCGCAAGTTGATCTCATTCCATCAACTTTCTTTTCGAAAGCTCCTCCCATCTGACAAAACAATTTTACCAAAAAGCTTTATATTTATAATTTGAAAAAATCCACTGATTGTAAATATCTGATTATCTGATTACTCAGTGTCTTACCGATATCAAATTATCAATTTCTTCAATAACTATGCCCAACTGGGGAACACTGGCTCTTATACACTTGTCCGTCATCATTAGGAATTGAGTTAGTGCGATATTCAGATTGGTTTTCAAAGAATCGACACAATTTTCATGATTCTTTTCCTGCGAAGATAATTTTTCAAAGTGCAAATATCATTTTCGGAAAGCTCAAAAAATAACTAATTTAAACTCACATCAATTCCTGCAACAGTGAGATCGACCATTTGTGATGCCACCCCCTCGTAATACTCTTCAACAGCGTCAAATTTTTTTCTCTCCTCAGGTATCATGCGACTCTTATACAATTGTAGTGACAATCTGATGTCACGTGATTTCAAGTATAGGTAGCTAACGTCACCAGCAGGGGTTGCTCCATACTGAAATTATCGGTGAGAAAAAATATGCAATCATCCTACCCAATGTTCTTTAAATAGCTTAAACAAACCAAAAAAAAAAAAAACAACCTACTTGAGAAGTGAATATGACCAACACGGCGATGACACCCACCAAGTACTTCATTTTTTCGAAAAATCACATATTTATTCAGTATTCTTTGCCGCCTCAGAGTTATATACACTGAGCGACTCCTCGTTTCGTTATCAGTAATTGATGGCCTCGAGATTATGCAGATGACAAAAAAACTGAATGATAACTGTCTTACATAATCGCTGATTTTTGAGGATAACTGCTATTGGAAAATCCAGACTCATCGATTTAATCATCAATTGCATCTAAATTTACGATTACAAAAGCAAATATGACTTATCTTGAAAGATAATCAATTTTATTAGTTTCCACTGAAAAATATTTGTTCTGCAGTAGATTATAGGTGATGATTAAAGGTTGCTGAATATGTACAACGTTATTTATTTCTTTTTATTTTTCATTTCGAAATACATGGATTTTTTTTTATTTCCATAAAGAACATGTTGAAAAATTGGTTGAAAATATAAAAAGGCGAACCTTTTTTTTCTAAATAACAAGAGCAGTTTTTATGATTTTCGATGAATTCATGACGTTTAAACATTGCAATACGTCTTTGTCGTCAATTGCCTCCTCAATTTCAATAAAAATATTGTCCGTTGATCTCTGAATGCAGGCGCCCGTCTGCATAAATACCGAACCACTATCGATCTGGACCTTTGTTCTCAGCTCTACTTCCGCTCGTTCGTAGGATTCAGCTAAATTCATCATGTACGGTAGATTTTCCTCCAAGCATGGCTCAAAGCCATCAGAAGACTTGGAGCAAAAACTTGTCATTATGTTACCCTGCGCCGCGATTGTTTCGCCAATCTAGTCATGTGAGTAGTCATGTGTTAAAATGGAAATGTAAAATAACTTCTAAACAACATTTTGCTAGACTATTGGAAAATTTAGATGGAAAAAATTTTAGGTCAATTATTCTCGAAAATTTTTTACATATCATGAAAATAATTTGAAATTTCATTGAATTTTCCGTGAAATTAAAATTTTATCATTTTTATCTCCCCTCGAAATGACATTCAGTTTCACTCTCTTGAAAAATTAATAGTCGAGTGTCCAGAAAAGTGTTCCATTTTTTTTTCCAACAGTGCACAATTCTAGTCGTATTAATACTCACAGCTATGAGTTTATCAATTTCTGATGCGTATGAATTCCAACGAGGCAGGTTATCACCAAAACATTTCAACAAAATTCCATCTACCATTTTCAAAATTACCGGGGCCTTGGATATTAATAGCTTCTTGCACTTTTCATCTTCCCAATTCTGGAATTAAAAAAAAACAACAACAAAAAAACAAGATTGTGTGGAAGAATTAGTGCCAAAGATTTAATTCTAATGAAATTTTTCTAGTTAATTGCAACTTACATTAAGTGCAGTGCCAATCGTTAAAATCCCCTGGCGTCGCGACGCCTCTATAACAACTTGGAATTTAGTACTCTCTTGTATTACTATCTGCGACTTATACAACGTCAGGGATAATCTGATGTTGTGAACTTTCGAGATTGTACTATTCAGGTCTTCAGCGAAAGTTGCTTCACCCTAGAATCATCAGATGAAAATTTATGAGAGTACTTGAATTATTATTGTTGCACTGTCTTTAGAGGTAAATAATAATAAAACTTACTTGAGAAATGAATGCCGCAGCAGCCAAAAAAGCGATAATACCCATCACACGTAACTTCATCTTTCGATGGATTATGATACCGTCTCCAAGTCAATAAACCTTTGTGCCAAAATTCCTTTCACCTCGGTGTTTTATACTCCAAGTTCCACTTCACTAAAATGATAACAGTGAGATATCAAAGTTGGTGAAATTAAATTGATGGAGGATGACCAAACTTCCAAACAACGAGAGACAATCAATCTGTGATGGTTAATTTCATCAATAATATTCTAGTCACACAATATCACTTATCCAGCCGGGGGAAAAACCCTAATCCGATAAAAATAATGATCATAGTGATGGGTAATTGGTTCACACCAGATTCCGTCATCTCACCCAACGTCATTGACTTCCGGTGGTGTCTGCTAAACTCATGGAACACGATCGGCGCGACGCACACGTGTAGTGGGGATAATTCTGATGCGCCCAGCCATTTGATCCTTATCTATGATGCATAATATATGTAGATTACTCAGAGTGGCGCACGCGGCCGACATTCTCCGGGATTAGAGCCGGCCGAGCCGGCGAAATGTAGATTACGGGTAATAAACCGGGGCTAAAATGGACAAGTATTTTTTTTATTCATTTTCTTCTAAAAATCCCTCACATATGTATATATATATATATATATATATATATATAT